AACTTCTGGAGGCAATTCGTTCCACTGACTAATTGTTCTCATTGTCAGGAAATTTCTCCTTAGTTCTAGGTTGAATCTCTCCTTGATTAGTTTCCATCCGTTGCTTCTTGTCTTGTCTTCAGAAGCTTTGCAGAATAGGTTGACCCTCCTCTTTTTTGTAGCAACCCCTCAAATATTGGAACACTGCTAGCATGTCTCCCCTGGTCCTTCTCTTCACTAGACTAGCCATGCCCAGTTCCTGAAACTGTTCATCATGTTTTATCCTCCAGTCCCCTAATCATTCCAGTTGCTCTTCTCTGCACTCTTTCTAGTGTCTCAACATCTTTTTTATATTTTGGAGACCAAAACTGGAAGCTGTATTTCAAGTGTGGCCTTACCAAGGCATTATAAAGTGGTACTAACACTTTAGGTGATCCATCTGTCTCTGATGACCAAGGCATGAGTAACTGAGAGAAAGGCCTCCCTACTATGGAGCTGTGGTTTATGTTCCGTGGGCAGCATTTATTCACTCCATCCCTCAAGGCCTTTCTCGCATAACATTTCAGAAGGTTTTCTCTTCCCCAATGGAAATATTTCTCAGTATCTGCAGTGAGGACATTCAGGGTGGGGGCATCAAGAACTTCAAGATGGTGGCTTCAACTGTGCAGAGGAAGACCAAACATGGTTTTTTTAAAAAAAAATATACGTAAGTTAAATTAAAAGAGTCAGCGCTTTTATTGCGTTCTGAGGACCCATCATCTCGCCCTTTTGACATTCTCCCCAGAGATGTCCTGCGCATGACCCTCTAGGGCTGTTCTGTCAACATCAGTTCCTCATTTTTACAAAGTGGTTATCTTCCTTTCTTCCATTTTTTAAAGAAATCAATTACTTTCCGTTCTTTGTTTCTCAATCTGTCCTATTTGGTTTGGTACACTTGATTTAATTTTTTTTAAATATGTGCACTCATTTCCCATGTGTTTTGGTGGATAGTTCCCCAAAGAGGCAATTATTGGTTCCAATTTTGTGAAACACACCCATGTTTTGCAATCCCATGTTTTCCCCTCAGTTCATTATTTCCCTGCATTGTTCTCATGAATGTGTGTGTTCTTTGGCTCTGATTGTCCCATATAAACCTGCAAATTGAAGATAGCTCAATTTCGCTTTGTTTTTGTTTTTTTTCATTTGAAAATTGAAACGAAATATTCAAATGCACTTGTCCCCTATCTTTTAGTACAGTTCTTAATAATATTTTAATTCTGTGTGGTTTTAATCTTCTAACTATTTAACTTGCTTTGTAAGCCCCTCCTCCTTGTAGAAAAGATGGGCAGCATAAAAATTTAATAAATAAAGAAAATTAAATTTAAAAATCTTGAAATAGCAGTGAACAACTGCTAGGATCAAGTCTTCAGTCTGTATTAAATAATATTTGCAAAAATGATCAAGAGCATTTAAAAAAAGAACATGCACATTAGTGAGGATGGCATTGATTGATTGATCGATGAGGCTTATGTGGCTGTCCATCTTATATGCCATAATTTTTGGTGGCTTACACCAAGAACTATAAGAATATTGAAGAAACAATTAAAGCCAACATCTAAGAGACAACTCAGGTGCCCTAAACCAACATTCCCTAATATATAAACCAGTGTTTCTTAACCTCCAGAAATGTATGATGTATGGACTTCAGCTCCCAGAATCCCCCAGCCAGCATGGGGAATTCTGGGAATTGAAGTCTACATGTCTTAGACTTGCTGAGTGAGGTTGAGAAACATTGCTCCAGGCACTGGGTCAATATTTGAATAGTATAACCTGGCCAGCAATAGATAGAGATATATAATAAAGTATCACTTATCAGTATCACCCATATACCTATGATACTGTACCCCGTAACATTGAATGGCCTCCCCCAGCAGTTTCATGTAAATGTTAAACAGGAGCAAGGGGAATCCTAATCCCCGAGGCACTCCACAAAAAAAGGACGCAGGACTGGACCTCCAATATTTAGAAATATTGAAGACTGGGAAAATGATAAAGGCTATTCACGCACCTCAAAGAAAACTAAGGGCAAAAAGATTTGGGAAGATTTCTAATGCATTTTTTAAAAACCCATTGGGGAAAACCCTCCAAATCCTGCCTCAGCTTCTGCCAGGCCTGGTCACTGACCAATTTAAACTGCCTGGCACATCCTTATTTTTGCGGTTGTAACATGACAGATTTTGAGGAACTTGGGAAGTTAAAACCTTTGCTATTTCAGAGGAAAGATGAAGAAATGGCTCGGAACAAATATTGTAAAGTTTCTTGGCACACTTTCAAACAACCCAGCCCAGTTTCATTAGAATGAGTTCCTGTATTTAAATATCAGAGGTTTTTCCCCCCCACAAAATAAAGCAAGATATTTCTTCAGAAAAGGAAATTGCTCCACTCTAGATGACTGCCTTTCACCATTCCGTTTTCCTGAGGGCACTTTCTTTTATCAGCCACATTTCTTGCTTTCCTAGGTTCACAAGCACCAAAAGTGTTTAGTTATTTTTGTTTGAGGATGGGTCTTCCCTGCTGTAACCTATTAGATGCCTGAGCCTAAATATTCATCTATTTAAACCACCATTTCGAACCTTGGCAACTTTTAAGACCTGTGCACTTCAACTCCCAGAATTCCCCAGCCACTAGCCATTCTGGTTGGGGGAATTCTGGGAGTTGAAGTCCAAAGGTTGCCAAGATTGGACACCCCTGATCTAAAGCCATAATTATATGTCCCTTTCTGCTTCACAGAACTGGAGCTACTGAGTTTTGAGAAGGTGCCTGCCGAGTTCATTTCCTTGGAAAACAAGAGAATGAATGTACAGATCAAGACCAAAGCAAGTGTAAGTGTTTGATTCCCTCCTCAAGGATTCTGGGTAATAAGAGCCTGAAAGGGAAGAGGAAATAAAGGTGGGAAAGTCCCTTAAAGAAAATGAACGGGAGAATGTTAATTTGCCACTCCCTTGAAAATACCAAAGGACAGTTTTAAAGCTTATTTTTAATTGATTAATTAATTATTGGTGAAACAAAAATTACAAATCCGAACGAACAAAATGAAAAAGCAAAAATGTGACAGGACCTGTAGGCACATTAGTGCACTTACGCGCATCCTCTTAGGAAACTCTTAAAATAGGGGATGAGGTCAACAGAAGTCAAATTGGAATTAAAATGGTGAAAGTTAGTAGCTGAGACACCTAAATCAGGTAAGGTATTCCAGACTTTGACAACTCTATTAGAAAAAGCGATTTTTTACCATCAACTTTATTTTTGTGATAATGTTGTTACATTCCTGGAAAAAAATCATGCAGAAATACTACACTTCGTTGTAGTTCACATTTTGCAGCAAACGAGAAAATTAGAAATCTTTGGTGTTCCCAAAATGTGGTGGGGTGGGAAAGCCTCTTTTTCCTCAAATGTTGTGGGTTTATCATTAGAAAGCTCCAGCTTTTTCATCAGATGAAACCAACCAATAGCTCTGTGCAAATGCCACACATACACAACCGCACTCCCCAACTTATTCAGGGAGCAAACTCGCAGGAGAGAAAACAGAAAAGGTTTTGGGGTTGTTTTTTTGCTTTGTCCAAGTTCACCTTTTGTTCTGAATCCCACCAAAGCTCATTATGAAACCAAGGTGTGGCTCTGGCTTAAGAAAAACTTAACATAATTAGCACTATACAAATAATGTACAGGTATATGATTGAGAAGAATATACATACATATATTGGCTACAGCAGCGTTTCTCAATCTTGGCCTCTTTAAGACAGGTGGACTTCAACTCCAAGAACTTCCTAGCCAGCATGGTATCTGGGGAATTCTGGGAGTTGAAGTCTATCTGTCCTAAAATTGCCAAAGTTGAGAAAGATTAAGTTAGAGTGACTGAGCACCTTTCCCTTTGCATAAACATGTTTGGGAAATCTCCTTTTTCTATTCCCATGAAACTGCATTCATTTCATCTCAGGCCTATTCGTGTGATATGTTTAAACCAGGGGTGTCAATCTTGATTTCATTGAGGGCCACATCAGGGTTGTGTTTGACCTGGGGGGGGGTGTATGTGGCCAGGATGGGCGTGGCCAGCATGACATCACTCTTGTCAGGGGTGCCTGTAGCGGCCCAAGCGCTCTGCCAGTGAAAACGGGCTCCCGAGCTCTGTTTTTGGCTGGGATGGTCTCCTGAAACCCTCTGCCAGCAAAAACTGAGCTTGGAGGGTCATGCAGGGCCTTGTGGCAGAGGCACCATGGGCTGGTCCTTCAGTATTTCCAGGGTGGCCTGCAGGCCAGATCGAAGCACCACACGGACTGGATCTGGCCGCCGGGCCTTGAGTTTGACTCCCCTGGTTTAAACCATCCTTAATGTCTTCCGTCTTCAAGCTGACAGTGCTGAAAAGGCAGCCCGAAGCCAGATAAAATCCGTTAGGCTCTGTTGCTTTACCTCGGTTTAGAACAGTAGGACTGGGGGAAAGGCAGGAAAACAACAGGCCACAGGAATGATAGATTTATGTTTTCTCTGACTCAGAGATGGAGAACTTGGCAATGGAGAAATGTCATTGGCGAGGAACTTGTAGTGGGAAAAGGCTCTGAGGCTGATGGATGGATGGATGGTCTGTTACCAACCCGGCCTTTTGAAACTTTAAGTCAGAATTTCCATCACCAAGTTCAAAGCATCAAATGATCTTTCTATCCCGATTCTTCAGAATTCAACTCTTGACTTCCATAGCAGGTCACTGGAAAAAAATAACACATAGCTGAATTTGAATTGTATTACATTTTAATTTGGGCACAATGACTATGGAGATTCTTAATCATCCAGATCATGGTTTTCCCAAAGGTGCTTTTTCCGAAAAGTGACTGGACTTTCTGGTAGTTTTTTTCCCCCTTTGAAAGCATTTTGCTTCTAGAATGAAAACGATCAGACAGGCACAGAGAGTGGGATCAAAAGCTGACCAGAAAGAAGTGGAAAGGATAAGGAGAGAATGAAAATGGATAGGAGAGAGGAAGAAGGGGGATATGTGTGTGTGTGTGTGTGTGTGGAAAAGGAAAGAGAAAGAGGAAGTAGAGAAGAGAGAGATGGTAGAGGGAAGGAAGGAGGTATGGAAGAGGAGAGAGGGAGAGGAGTTAGTGCTGTTGTGGAACAAGGTATAATATGGTGTATGGAAATCAGAAGAGCAAAAGAGAGTTACCGTGGGTAGATGGTGAGAAGAATTGATATAATATTGGATCATATATAATAGTGTTAAGTTAAGATGTAATGCTACACTTGTGAATATCTGTATGAAAATAAGAAAATAAAAAACGTTTCTTTTTTCAAACAAAAAAGAAAACACTTCACTTCTCATCCGAGAAGCTTCTTCAGTTCTAGCTTCTCATCTCCTCTCTAACTCAACTCTAACTGAAGAGGAGAAGAGAAACGTTTTCAAAGGAAATAGAAAACCAAGAAAGTCCAGTTGCCTTTTGGAAAAAAACACCTTTGGGATAATTTGGGCACAGATTTGAAACCAACCCAGGCAGGAGTGAAGCCGGGAGTATTACTCTCTTTTCCGCACCAGCTGCTCAGAGGGGTTACTCTGCCTCTTCTGAAAAGGGGAACTTGTCCCACTTCCCCACATGTAGGGTAAGCCCCTAAACCAAAGATCTGGTTGCGAAACTTGTTTTGAGCACTGAAGCTGTGTGCTGAACAAGGGGATGCATCAGCTGAATGGGGGAAGCTGCATGATAAATAGGGACCTCCAAACTTGGCAAATTTAAGACTAGCGAGCTTCATTTCGCAGAATTCTTGGATGAGGACTTCTGGGAATTGAAGTCTACATGTCTTAAAGTTGCCAGGGTTGAGAAATACTGCTTTAGGGACTAGTGGAGGCAGTCACCAGTCCTAAAGGTGTTTTTTTTTTTCCAAAGACACTTGTACTTTGTTTTTCCTTGAAGACGTTTCACTTCCCATCCAAGAAGCTTCTTCAGTTCTGACTGAATGGTGGAGGACGGAAGGACTTGTCTTCCTTGCGGTCCCCTCGTCATTAACACTCTCTCTGAGGTTTATCTGCAGCCTCAAGTTTACCTGAATAGTGCAAATTGGTGTGGAACCTTCTTGGAACTGCTGAAAGGGAACTGGAAATAGATGGTATCTGTGTTGCAAATCCTTCCACCGTTCAGTCAGAAGCGAAGAAACTTCTTGGGTGAAAAGTGAAATGTCTTCAAGGAAAAACAAAGTCCAGGTGCCTTTTGAAAAAAACATCTTTGGAACAACCATGACCTAGAAGATTGAGAATTTCCATAGATCTATTTGAAAACACACATATATACACACACAGACAAACAGATAGAGAGCTCTTGATCCAATGGCCCAATTAGTTACTCCAGTAACAGATCTGTTAAACTGTGGCTTCTTCCAGCGTCCCATGTGTGCTTCTGGAGCTCTTCAGAAGATATATGCCAACGTGTCCAATGTCGACGAAGTGGTGACTGACAGGTTCCTGTGCAGTGGAGAAGATATGTCGTTGGAAGCCCACACTTGCAAAGGTGAATTTTACCTACAAAAGGAGATGGGACTATATCCCCAATGCATGTCGAAGTGTGGTACATCAAAGAGAGAGGGTTGAATTCTGGCCAAGCTGCGTCATCTACGCTGGAGTCACTAAACAAGGAGTGTTTTGTACCATCCCCAATCCAATACAGGTAGTCTTAGTCTTAGGCCCGTCGCTAAACAACCCAACATTACAGTGGACTTTTAAAAAGCCACTTAGGATCAGTCCTCAAAGTTATGACTGCCATACCCCACCATAGTCACATGAATGCATTTGGGGCAGTTGGCAAGTGGCTGGCATTTGTGACTAGTTGCCATGTTCTGTGGTCAGGTGATTGCGATGTGCAGCGTTTTTTGTATGCTGGATTCGCTGAATGATCATGTGGTTCCCTTAATACATAATCACGTGATTCATTTAAGGACAGCAACGGTTCATAAAAATGGTGGTAAAAATCGAGTCTAGTCACGTGGTATCTTGACTTTGGACCATGAACAGCTTCCGACTGAAATTCAGCCCTCCGTTATGGTTGTAAGTTGAGGACAGCCTATAGTTTGAGGCTGAGCTGTAAGTATCATAATACCACTCTATAAAGTAAGACCAGTGGTGGGTTCTGGATCCCGTCGCACATGGGGATGGGCGTCCTAGTCGGGTATGCATGCTGCACACACATGCGCATGCCATCACCCTGCAACACCCAGCTGCTCAGCGGAGGTCACGCAGGGGCTGCGCATGTGCACAATTGACCCAGTTGCTTCAAAAACAAGTAAGCAACGTGGGCAGGCGGGCGGGCCAAACGAGCCACCGTACTGGAACGATGGCTGCTGTTCTCGGCTATCACCAGTACATCTGAACCGGGCTGTACTGCCCGGAACCTACCACTGAGTAAGACCACACCTAGAGTACTGTATCCAGTAAGACCACACCTAGAGCAGTGTTTTTCAACCACTGTGCCG